GAGAACAGTATGGAGGTTCCTTAAAAAACTAAAAATAGAACTACCATACGAACCAGCAATTCCACTACTGGGTATATACCCTGAGAATACCATAATTCCAAAAGGGTCATGTACCACAATGTTCACTGCAGCTCTATTTGCAATACCCAGGATATGGAAGCAACCTAAGTGTCCATCAACAGATGAATGGATAAAGATGTGGCACATATATACAATGGAATATTACTCAGCCATAAAAAGAAACAAAATTGAGTTATTTGTAGTGAGGTGAATGGATCCAGAGTCTGTCACACAGAGTTATGTGAGAAAGAGAAAAACAAATACTGCATGCTAACACATATATATGGAATCTAAAAAAATAAAAAGGTCATGAAGAACCTAAGGGCAAGATGGGAATAAAGACGCAGACCTACTAGAGAATGGACTTGAGGACATGGGGAGGAGGAAGGGTAAGCTGGGACTTAGTAAGAGAGTGGCATGGACATATATACACTACCAAATGTAAAATCGATAGCTAGTGGGAAGCAGCCGCATAGCACAGGGAGATCAGCTCAGTGCTTTGTGACCACCTAGAGGGGTAGAATAGGGAGGGTGGGAGAGAGGGAGATGCAAGAGGGAAGAGGTATGGGGATATATGTATATGTATAGCTGATTCACTTTGTTATAAAGCAGAAACTAATACAACATTGTAATGCAATTATACTCCAGTAAAGATGTTAAGAGAAAAAAAAGATATATGCACCCCAATGTTCACTGCAGCACTATTTAAAATAGCCAGGACATGGAAGCAACCTAAATGTCCATCAATAGATGAATGGATAAAGAAGATGTCATGTACACACCATTGTAAAGCAATTATACTTCAATAAAGATGTAAAAAAAAAAATGTGGTGTGTGTATACACACACACACACACACAATGGAATATTACTCAGCCATAAAAAAAGAATGAAATAATGTCATTTGCAGCAACATGGATGGACCTAGAGATTATCACACTAAGTGAAGTAAGTCAGAGAGAGAAGGACAAATACCATATGATATCACTTAACATGTGGAATCTAAAATACGACACAAATCAACATATCTACAAAACAGAAACAGACTCTCAGACACAGAGAACAGAGTTCTGGTTGCCAAGGGAGAGGGGAGGTGGTGGAGGGAAGGACTGAGAGTTTGGGATTAACATATGCAAACTAGTACATATAGGATGGATAAAGAAACAACAAGGTCCTACTGTATAGCACAGGCAACTATATTCAATATCCTCTGATAAACGACATTGGAAAAGAATATATATAACTCAATCAGTTTGCTGTACAACGGACATTAACACAACATTGTAAATCAGCTATACTTCAATTTTAAAAAGTAACAGTGTAATATAGGAAAAGGAAAGATCAAGTGTATTTTCAGATTGTGTTTTATACTTAAACTCAAAGCAACTCAATTTTTAAAAACACTATCAAGATAAAAGAATTTGATAAGGAGGGTAAAAATAAGTAGGCAAATACAAATAACCCCAATAAAATACAAATAATGCTAATAAAATACAAATAACCCCAATAAAAGTAGAAGCTACAACACAGAATTAAATTTATTAAGAAATCTTCTTGCTTAATACTATAAAATCTCAATGAAAACTTAAAACAAGATCTGATTCAATTTACAGGTAAGTGTATGTTCCTTGATGGAAAGTCAATATTTAACAAAATTTTCCTGTTTATATGTAAGGTGTGCAATTATACAATTCCAAAATGAATCCCAATTCTACTTCTCTTTCTTTTCTTTTGGGACCAGATAGAATTATTTTTAAATTCCTATGGAAGAGTATACGTCACAGAGAAGTCAAGAAATTCTGAAAAGTATTAGTGACAGGAGAGTTGCCTTATCAGATATTAAAATTTATTCAAAATAGCAAACTTTTATTATTGGCACAGGAATAAACAGATTAGTGGAAAAGAAGAGCAAGTCCAAAAACAGATCGAATATATAAGAATATCTGATATATAGCAAAGTGGCAACAACCAGCTAAATAAAAATGGCAGTTGGAGAAGTACAAAAAGGAAGAAAGAATCTACCACACCACTACAAATCTTCATTCTAAGGTGCCTGCTGTCACAGTATGGAGTATCATAGTCCTAAGAGTGTAATGACTATACATCATCAAATTCAGGAATGGTGTATCAGAAACACAGGAAGCAAAAAGAAAAAAAAGAATGAAGAAAATCTCAAGATACCGAAAAAAAAAAAAAGAAAAGTACTAAGTTTTAATAATGAGAGGACAAAGGAACCTTGGCAAAGACTTCGAGACTGGATGTTCTACAATCATTCATTCATCCACACAACCAGCATTTACTGAAAGCAAGGAATACAGAGCTGACACACAGGTAAAGAAGTACAATGTAATATAAATGTCAAAGTATCTGTGCAACCATATATTAAGAAGATGTCCATACATTTTATCTATGAAAATAAGAGAAAAGTTCATAGAAAAGATAGCATTTAAAATACTTGGTATTTAGAATGACTGAACGTTTTTAAAGAGGAAAAGGTTGTAGGAGTGGGATAGGGATTAACAAGGCATTTCCAGAAAGAGGGAAGAGATGTGCAAATGCAAAAGTGCATGAGAAAACACGCGGTGGCTGGAGAAGAGAAGCTGGGGTAGGTAAGTATTGATTCTGCTAATGTTTCAGTTGCCCCTTTCCAGGCAAAGATGCCATCTGTTTGCATACTAGATTTGTCTCCTCAGAATCAAATTCCTTCCAATAGCAATCTAAGTTCTACAGATCAACCAAAGGACAGATTCACTGCAATCAAGTTGAGTGGAGGATAATCTTAGGAAAAGTAACACTGCCACACTTAAATCTTGAGCAGTTCAAACCATGAGACCTTTCTTTTATTTCCTGTTTTCTCTGTCTGCCTCTTTACCAGACAGACACAAATACAGGAGTAGCCCTGAGAATATCTGTCTATAGCTCTTAAGGCACTGGAATTCTACACTATAAACTATAAGTATGACAATGTATTGAAATTTTTAAATGCTGATTTTTTTTTCCCGTTGAGAAATACTACTGGGAAAAGTCAATTGAATCTCAACTGTAAATTGTTTCAATTTGGATCTAAGGGTAAACAACACAGTGTCCTTTGTTTGTGGGCACAGGGTGGGAATTATTATTAAGTACCTTTACAAATTCTTGAAATTTTGGAAACGGACACATGACAGACATGACATTAACACTCCTATGGATAACTTAATTTTTAGAAGTGTGACTGGTTTGATCTGAGGAAGCAGCATTTCCACTTGATAAATTACCAATGCTTTATTTCTGAAGAAGAATGTGTAGTAATTTATCTGGACATTTTTGCTAGCAGATAGGACTGTTGCAGATACTTCTATATTAATAGCTGGGACTTCGAAGGTGGGAGTGGGGGCTTGTTCTGGGGTTTCTGTTTTCTGTCTTAATACGTGGGAGGAATGCCTCAACCAAAACTGTGTGACTTTTTAAGGGAAATACGTATCTGTGGAATGAGATTTTTAGAAAAGCCAATCTGGATGACATTTTATCGTTCAGATTTAAGGCTGCTATTATTTGGTGTACTTATATAATCCCACCTAGTACCCTTGATGGCACAATATGGCCAGATACAGATCTAGGAGATAAAAAAAGAGGGGCGCGGGGTGCCTTCTTGGTCTTGTTTAGTGTTTCTCAAAGTATAGCTGTGTGCAATTAACTGGGATGCTTGTTTAAAATTTCAGATTCTGATCCCCCACTTTCAGAGAGTCTGATTCAATACTCTGGAGTAGGACTCAGGAATCTACACTTTTAACTACTACATCAGCTGATTCTGATGCAGAAGAGAAACACTGATGCATGCAGTAATGGCAAAGGACAAATTAATGATAACCACTACAGACGTTAACTTAGAATATTTTCCTAAGTGAATAAAGCAGTTGATTTAATAAAACTATTATCACTGACTTCAGTTACACTGATAAATATTACCAATTATACTATAACTCACTGCTGATAGTTCATAATGCCGTACAGTTCTTTAAAAAGCTATACCAAAAGGGCAATTTTTCAAGACTCTTTGTCAAAATATCACTCTATAACAGAAATACAGTTCAAAAAATTGACTATCAAAACTTAAAAAAAATATATAATTTAAATAAAGCCCTTTTATTTCAAGGTCCTTAAGGGAATACTGTTACGCTGTTCAGACTTTTTTTAAATAGTAGAACTGATCTTTTTTCATATCTTTTCTCTGGTATAAGAAGCACATGCTTTACCACAGTCTTCCAGTCCTCACCCCACACACTCCTACACATACACGGGTTTTTTAAACAAGTCGATCTTTTAAATATTTTACACTGCATTCAAATAAAAAGTAATCAAAAATAACACGTGCCATACAACGTCTTTGTCAGAGTGACTCTTGCGTTGGTATGGACTACTGAATTCACCTATTAGATATTTCATTTATACGTAAATAAACTGATTTATAGATCAATAAAGAATCATGATTATGGGGGCTTCCCTGGTGGCGCAGTGGTTGAGAATCTGCCTGCCAATGCAGGGGACACGGGTTCGAGCCCTGGTCTGGGAAGATTCCACATGCCGCGGAGCAACTAGGCCCGTGAGCCACAACTACTGAGCCTGCGCATCTGGAGCCTGTGCTCCGCAACAAGAGAGACCGCGACAGTGAAAGGCCCACGCACTGTGATGAAGAGTAGCCCCTGCTCACTGCAACTACAGAAAAGCCCTTGCACAGAAACGAAGACCCAACACAGCCATAAATAAATTAATTAATTAATTAAAAAAAAAAACAATCATCATTATGGGACAGCTGACTAGACATGAAAATAATCTAATTACTTTAAACCAGATATTATCATGGTAGCCACTGAAATATATATATGTGCACACACATGTGTGTATATACATGTATATATACACATACATATATGTAATTTAAGGCTTATTAAAGATACTTACTACTATTAATAATGTAGCTCGGAATCATTTTACCTTTTAATATTGCTGCTGAAATTCCAATGGTAGCACAAAATAGGGGGGAAAAAAGCAAAGACATTAAAGAGTTATATGGAATAATATTTTGCCTGTGTTTGATGTGCTTAAATGCATGTATATAGGAAAGAAGATCTGAGTTGGAAAAAAGGGCTCAGAAAAAAAAAACAGGCACATAGGCGGATTTAAGAAGATCAGAAATCCTTTCTACTGTTTCTATTTATATCCTTACATACATCCTACTCACTCCACAGTCCTTAAATAGTTGACATCTCAATGAATCTCAAAGAATAAAGCAATACAAGAAGACAAGACAAAACACTAATTTGGCTAGCACTAGATTATTGCTAAACTTTTTTTTTTTATTGTTCCACTTGGAAGATATACTGAACTGAAATGAGTAAGTTTCCTACCTATCTACCAAGCAAACATCCCAACATCAACAACCCTGTGCATATTATACAACTTTATCCATTTAAGGGGGGGTGGGAGGAGTACTGCTCTCTCTATAGGTATCTCCAGTGGATAAGAAAGACTGCTGTTATAAGCAGGATTTCAGTCTATATCTGATGGTTCACTTTCCCTCATTTCTCCCCTATTCCTAGATGTGAAACTATGAAAGAATACTAGTTAAGACCTTGCATTTATACAGCAATTTGGGTTTCAAAGAGCTTTCAAGTTACTAACAAACATTTTGGCCTAGAGAGGACTATATCATGAATTAAGGCATGCTATCTTGTTCTTCAGGCATCTGCCATGTATAACTCTTGTAACTTATAAATACCTATGTGATGAACTTGGATCTCAATGGAAAGAAGCTGCTAGATTTCTATTGCCTTCATCAAGACAGTGGTCATTTGATTATAGGTGGCCTGGTAAAACCCCACTACTATTATATTGTATACAACACCCTTCTATACAATCTCTTTTTATTCCTTATTAAAAAAATAGAAGATGTAGTATCAGTGAAATTGAATGTGAACATCTGTGGATATTAAAAATGACTCAGTGTAATCTCTTGTATTTTTATCACTGGGCAGAATTATAGCAAAAATTATAAATTACATACAAAAATATAATTCTAGAAACATTCTAACTCAGCGAACAAAGCAAAATAAACATTTTACTACCCTTTTTTCCAAAAGAAAAATATATTTTGAAACCATCTTCTAAAAAGTTTACTTCTTTTACCAGTGAACCATAAATAATCTTTTTGTAACTCATTTTTGTTATCAAGTTAGGAAAATTAATGCTAAGGTGAATACAAATGATTTTTTACCCTTACCTCGATCTTTTGCTTTGTCAGAAAGGAGGACCTCTACCTCCTCATATTCCCGGATGGCGTCCAATATGATACTTCCTTCTTTACTGAATAAGAACAGCATGGGGATTGTGATGTCATCTGTGTCCTTTCCATCACCTGCCATCTGGAACAGAGGGGCAGTATCACTGCTGCTCCCCTCATTGTCATCTAGCCAGAAAATGAATACAGCAAACATAAAAACGTTCATCCATTAAAAAGGTCTAGCTACCAATCTTTACTGTTGTTTACCTGTTGACAGCATTAATTTTCTGCATCAAGAACCATAGAAACACTCATACTTTTGGGGCCCACTAATTCTACTCCTAGAAATCTATCCTGAGGAAATAATTCAAAAGAAGCAAAATGATCTATGCCTGAAAAAGTTTACTGGAGTGCTTTTTGTAACTGTCAACAACTGTAAACTCTTATAAGTAAATTATAACGAACTACCTGAGGGAACACACAGAAAAACAAAATGTTATTATTACATAAAAAAAGTAGAACACAAAATTCTAGGATTATGACTATAAAGATTTCACATGCTTATGAAAAAGCCTAAAAATGGAAAAATTCAATGACTTGAATTACAATGATAGAACTATGAAATTTTATTGTTGTTTAGGATTTCTTCGAATGGCATTATATTGTTTTACCAAACTACAAATTGACGGTTCTTTTTAATATACTGTTCACAAGGAATAATTATGACTATACTGTTTTTTCCTCTGTAAGTTGAATGAAACACTATTGTTACTTTACGCCGGCTAAATAATAGGAGTACGGCTGCTAAATACTGTTTTACTGGTGATGCCAGTTATGTCCAGCCCTAATCTTACATGCCAGTCTCCCTGGAGAACTTGCCCATCCCTTCACAGGCAGCTTGCGTGGATAGGCCCTTCTAAGTGGAGAATACCATGTAGAACCCATCCCCTTAGCAGTAACTGACTAGACAAAGGATGGTTACCTGACCCTCAGTCTCTCTGCTGCTTGTCACTGTCACAACCACTCAACTCCACCACTGTAGCTTGAAAGTAGCTACAGATGACATGGAAACAAACTGACATGCTGTGTTCTAGAAAACTTTCATTTACAAAAACAGGCAGTGAGCTGAACTTGGCTTGCAGGCTGTAGTTTGCCAACCACTCATTTAAGTTATGAAGCAGAATTTCTCTTAATACTTACTTAGACTAATGAAATTCATGCATTCATTAAATTAACACTGGCGTGCCGATATGAGATAAGCAAACTGCAAAGTAAATAATGTTTCACTGAACTAAATCCTACTGTTTTATTTTAAATCTCTTAACGTTTACTTACCCTGAGTTCAAAAACGAAATCTATCCTATTTAGAAAGAACAAATTCAAAATGGAGTTCCCCTGGGAGACAATCTATACAGAAGAACTAACTTCACAAATAGGATGTGACCTCAGGTTTTCCAGTTCTTTCTGAATGTAAACTCATATTTACTTAAAGCATAGAAAAATTTATATTTTCCCTGATAGTCGTGCCCTGCTTGTCAGGATATCAGTGATTTTTCTGTGGAAAATGAAAAGGCAAACACACTGGTTGAAATACATGCGTAAAATGATTTGAAGTTTATAATTTCAGTGGAAAAAGACCCAAGGAGATAAAAACTTGCTAGCAACTAGTGCTTATACCCATGATATGTCAGTTATTTTAGGAAATTTTATATATACTATCTTCAAACCTTACAACCACCTAAAGGATATTTATTACCATTTTCACTGGAGCTAAAAAATACGCTATGGAATAAACAGATAAAGAAACTAAAGCTGGGCCAAGGTTACACCATGATTTTGTGGTAGAGCCAGGAACTACAACCCCACGTGTCTGACTCCAAAGCCGGCACCTATGTGGAGTCATGGATACTTTCAGTGACTCCCCACTGGAGGTGGCAGGGTGTAATTCTTGCTCCTAGGGGGCTTTGGATCTCGTGGGCCCATTTTTTTTATCCATGGTATTGGGTGTTTTTAGCACTCACTCCTACTGCACCTTCACACCGGACCCCAAGTACTTTTATTGGCATTAATATACAGAAACCCAAATCTAGACTTTCAAACAAGATATGAGATATATACACATTCTTAAGAGAGTCATTGGATTACCTATCCATTATGCCGGCTAGTGAAGTAAAAATAATGCCAAACTCTGATAAAAGTTTGGAAAATGAAAGGAAAAATCCTAAAAATTATGTCTTAGTCAACACAATGACATGGAGGCTTACTTACCAATAACAATGCCACCAATGGCTCCAGCATTCTGGATGTTGCGTGCCTTTTCTGCAAACATGCACTGTCCTCTTTGTATCAAAGCAATCTTTCCCATCACTGCCTCAGGGTTAGTAAGCTCTGAACAACCATTGTACGGTTTACTGCTTGCAACAAATCCTCTTGTCTGGCAGAAATAAAAGTAACTTAAGTAATCTTTTATCTTCTCCAATCACTACCTAGTCATTAAAATTCAATATCTAGAGCTTTAAGTAGACCTCACTTCTTTTCTAATGATAACATATACAATATATATTTAGCATAAATTTTTGTTTTGAACATTTTGTATATTATAGTACCCAACCAATATTTCTACTGTGCTTTGCAGTTTATGAAGCATTTTTACGTAAATTACTAAACCAGATCTTTATAATGACTCTGAGTGAAGTAATACAGATAATATTTCCATTTTACGTACGGGAAAACTGAGATTCAGTTTACATAATTTGCTCAAAGTCACTATGTTAGTAAGTGGTAAAGTTGGAACCTCAGGCTGACTCACTACGTACCCATACCTACACTTACAAGAAGCTGGGAACCATTTTTAAACCATCACTGGTAACAGGAAAAATTTTTGAAAGAGGGGAAAAATGGATTTAATCTACATGAATCTGCAAGCAGTTCTTCTTCCTAGAAAAATTAAATCCACCAGAGAACTGATTATAAAGATGAGAGTGTAAAGATGTTTTAAGATCCTTCTCTCTCTTAGAAGGTAAACTCCATGAGGACATAAATCTTCACTGGTTTTTGTAAACTTGATACATAGCAAATATCTAAAATACTACCTAGAATAAGAGTTATTGAATAAATGAATCAACTATAAACGTACATAGCTTTAAAATATACACTAGAAAAAGTTTAAATTGGGGGTAACAGAGTTCAAAGACCACTGGCTTTAGATGATCAGAATACTTGGGTTCTGGTCTAGTGGCTAGCTTTGCTACCACTTAGTCAGACAGTTGAACCTGTGAACTTCATTTCCTACAGTAAAACTAATACGATAGACTAGCTTAATGGCCTTCCAAATTTGCTCAGTGGAACCTCAGTGTCTGATGCTCTCCACAGCCACTTGTCCGGAGCACCTCTGCTTTAGCTGTTCCCTACATTAAGCCTCTGAGTTAGATTTTTGTTCAAAGAAAGGTTTCAGTAGTTAAAAAGTTTGAAAACCATTTTTAGATAAGTTAAAGGCATTGAATTAGAGAACAATATCTGAACACTTTAAGTAAAATTCTATAACCATACTGCATACATAAATTATGACTCCACATTTTCAAGATACACTTTTAATTTTAATTTACTTTAATCTGGGAGATTAAATATTTAGGTGTTTTAAATAAGTTAAAACTACTAAATTAGAAAAGAGACTAAGAAATTAGACAATACTTAAATAATATTTGAGTTCAATTTCAACAAGCATATTATAGGTGTACATACCTCTTTATGTTTAGACAGATCTAGCCCAAACTGAGCTGGACCAGCAGTTAACACTACCCGGCCAAAAAATGGGTGAGAAACAATTTGTACAGCTCGTGGAGGTAGCTGCTGCTCTTTTTGTTGCTGACTTGACAATTCAATCATCTCCTGCATAAACCTCAAACCATCTTCCGCGTCAATTGAACTAGCAGCCTAGGAAAGAAACAAATTAATTTTATCCTTTCTTTCTGGAAACTTTCAACTTTTTGATTTCTTAAATACTACTGCACTATAGTTTTCTACTCTAAAATTTATCCTATCAGTTTTGGTCTCTACCAAATATTTATGGCCTTATTTGTTCTCAAAAATATTATTTCTGGAAATATTTTCTGAATATAACATCTGTAATTTTTATTAATGTCTCTTTCACTGTCCTATAAACCACTTTTGATACAAATTGAGAAGTGCACTTCCACTAAATGCTCACTTTGCTTGTTCTCTCCTCTGGTTGCCCTTTTAAGAAATAAACCTCATAACTGACCCATATTCCCCTCCTTCTTCGAAATTGTGAACCAACAACCAGATTAAATTCAAAACGTAAGTATCAGGCACCTATCACATCTCAGTACTTGACTAGGCACTAGGGACATAATCTTTTACTTTAAGAAGTTTGTATCTAGAGGAGAGAGACATGTAAAATTAGCTATGATAAAATTTCTCAAGTGGGAAAGTGGACTAGTAACATAGACAAAGGAAGGACTGATTCTGTCAGTGTGTATCTGGGAAATATTTGGAATGATTCAAATTGAATCTTAATAGAGGAAAAGTTGAAGAGTGCCTGACTACAGGAGGAAAAGGATGAATTCCTAACACCTTATAGAAAAAGTCAATGGAACCTGACAAGGGATAGAGGATAGAGGAGAATGGAAAGGAGCTGGGAGAAAGAAATGCAAGCCCATTCTGAGATTTTTAGTTTTGGTGACTTAGAGAATGATGATAGGGTTGACTGAGATGGAGAACGAAAGGGCAGAGAGACAGACTGTAGTGGGAGCAGGGAGAGAGAACAGGTTTGGACAGATTGAGATTGAGATGCAGAAATGTACGACAGGTAGATTATAGCTGGGTTTAAAAAGTAAAGTAAAGTTGGGTTTAAGAAGTAAAGTAAAATCAGGATTACATACATGTATCACGTGTACAAAGATGACAGCAGAGCTTGTAGAAATAGATGACACTATTGAAGTATAGTAAGAAAAACATACGATCCAGATTCTTTGGTAGTGCCTACACTGAGTCGTGCCGAGAAGAGCTGCAAAGGAATCTACAAAATATTGCACAGAGTATTTGGAAAGGTGTTGCTGGAATACCCTGGAAGCCAAGAAAGGGGTAGGTTTTAAGAAGAGGCCAGCCAATAGTTACATAAAAGTTCAATCAGAGGAGGACTAAGGGGCTACTGGCTGGCAATTATGTCACTGGTGACCCATGTGAAAGCAATGTCATCAGGGATGTCATTCCCACCGCTGGGGAGTGAGGATGAGGGAAACGTAAGGAAGCAGACAGAGTCTTGTTAGGGAAGGAGGGATGATGTGGCAAGAATAGGGATGAGACAGAAACCTGAGGGGAAGGCAAGGTGAGGGGAAGGCAAGGTGAGGGGAAGGCAAGGTGAGGGGAAGGCAAGGTGAG